TAGAAGATCACATTCTTTTCATGACCTACATATAAGAAGACCTATTGAGGTTTTCAGCATTGAGAAGACACCTTGGTACCATTGGGGGCGCCATTGTACAGGAAATTAATCAGGAAAAGTGGCTTGGTGTTATAATCGACAATAGTCTCACCTTTTGAGTAACATATCAGCAAATAGTCATTTTATGGGCCAAAATGAATTAAAATGGTTAATGAGAGCTGTTTTATGGCATATTTCATAGTTTTTTTTTAAATTTCAACCGTACAATGTAAACCTGTGATTTCTGATTTTGTATTCGAAATCAAAAATCTTGATTTATCTTTGTATGAATGCATTTTTCTCCGGTACTATGAAGAAAAAAACTGAAACCAAAAATTCACAGTTTATACTTTAAGGTAAGGCAAACTCAAATATAGTTAGCAGTTGAGAAAACCATATTTGGTTCATGTTTTATTCACAATTGAAATGTCAGTTTTCATTTTGCAGCTCAATATTTTCCCTCAAAAACTTTGTAAGTTGAAACTTTGAGCGCTATTGGGGAACCCAATTTCAAAATTGCCTATTAAAGTGGATGTTTCATAGCAGGAAACGTAACAACCAGATCAATAAACTCCATCGCCACTCAAGCTTTGAATCATTGTTGGAGGAAGATGCTTCCACAACTATCCATATCAAAAACTTTAAGGTGATGTTGACTGAAATTTTTAGAACTAAAAATCGTCTAAGCCCCAAATTTATGCAAGAAATATTTCCCTTGTGTAATAACCACTGTAGTCTAAAAAATGGGATTTAAACTATAAGGCATGTTTACTTATATTAAAAAATTAACCTCCCTGAATGATTTCAAAACGAAAATAAGAAATGGGAATCGTAGGGATTGCCAGTCCCCCTATATCGATCTTACATCCCATCACTGGTAATTTTATAGCTTAAATCTATGTATAATAACGATTTTTTGTTAATAGTGTTACTTATGTTGCTAAATGGCTTTATTAGAAATTTGTGAATTTAGTTTATTCTACGTTTAAGCTATTTTTATAAACTTTTTGTAAATAAAGGGACAATAGAAAATAATTAATAATGGCAGCATTACACGAATGGGTAAACAAGAACTCTTCGTAGGGTCACAAAATATATTTTAACGAAGATTATGCGGATGGCTGTGGAAAGAGAAGTTTCGGTATTTGATATTGGAAAAGTATTTTCTGTATTTTAGAAAGAAGTTGGTGCAATGTCGCATCTTCAAGCCTAAGTTTTTACACAGCGTCCCTAAAGTCCACAGTCATTTTATCGGAGGACTGATAGATATTTTGGGCTAAATGTACCTGCCCCAAAAGTTCCAACTCTCCCGATTTAGGTGGGAGTCTCCCAATTTTGTCATGTGTCTCCCGATTCGAGCGTTTTTCTTCTGTTCTCCCAATGGCAAATATAACCTCCTGTTTTCAGGGAATTTTTTATGAATCTTTTATAAAACTCCTTTTCAAAAAACATGTTAATGTGAAGAACTACACAAGTGTATGTGACATTTGTCAACGTATCTGCCTTATCCATCCTTGAGACACTTACACAATAGCTGGTGAAATGCACCTTGTTGAGAAAACGAATGAGCGAAATTTTTCAATTATGTGAGATAACCATCATCCTGGAAGGCTTTGTGTTATAGCGACCTCTTTGACTCGGGGATGCAGGGCTGCCTTACTCATTAAAAGACTTCCTTTCTCTCAGTTCTGTGAACAGACATAAATTCTGTTTAGCCAATAGCAAGAGTACATTTTGTTCTAGACCAATCAATAAGTTTGGTTACAACAATTCATTGGCCAATCACTTGCCTCTTTTTCGAGCTTGCTCTGGAGCAAAACCAACCACCCAAAACCTACCAAACTTAGTTTGTAGAGTATTTGTTTGTCACAAATCTCTCAGCCCCAGGCAGATATTTTTGAAGACTTTTTTATCGCATTGTACTGTATTGTACTATATTTTATCCTGACTTCCTTTGCTACATAACATGCATATTAATTTACTACAGTTGAAATGACATGTTATAAAAGAATGGATAACTTTTTTTGTTGTTTTTCCCCATACGCTTTGCTATTCGATTAAGGGAATATATCTGCTTGGCTGCTTTTTACATAATTCATGATATGAGTGCCAAGCTTAAGTTTTTGCCTATCTCGACACCTAGTATAGTTACATGGCTATCTTATATTACCGTAAACCAGTTTTTAGTTTCAAATTTTTCTATATGATGACCCCTAATTCCATTGGCAATAGCTTGAAATTTAGAGGGATTTGCAGTCGTTTTATTCAATTTAAACCATTCCAAGCATTTGTAGGCGTTTGTCCTTATTGGTTGTAACAGTTCATCAGCATTAGTAGCAGTAAGAGAAAGTGTATTGTCGTTAGCAATTTGGCATAATGATCCATTATCAAGATAGTAAAAAATGTCATTTCTGAAAATTTTAAAAAGCATGAGGCCAGATATCAACCCTTAAGGTACACCTTTTCCAAGCCTAGCCTTGGACAAGCCTACCCATGGACAAGCCTAGCCTTGGACAAGCCTACCCATGGACAAGCCTAGCCTTGGACAAGCCTACCCTTGGACAAGCCTACCCATGGACAAGCCTAGCCTTGGACAAGCCTACCCATGGACAAGCCTAGCCTTGGACAAGCCTACCCTTGGACAAGCCTACCCATGGACATGCCTACCCTTGGATAAGCCTAGCCTTGGACAAGCCTACCCTCGGACAAGCCTACCCATGGATAGGCCTAGCCTTGGACAAGCCTACCCGTGGACATGCCTACCCTTGGATAAGCCTAGCCTTGGACATGCCTACCCTTGGACATGCCTACCCATGGACATGCCTACCCTTGGATAAGCCTAGCCTTGGACAAGCCTACCCATGGACATGCCTACCCTTGGATAAGCCTAGCCTTGGACAAGCCTACCCATGGACAAGCTTAGCCTTGGACAAGCCTACCCTTGGACAAGCCTACCCTTGGACAAGCCTACCCATGGATAGGCCTACCCTTGAATAAGCCTAGCCTTGGACAAGCCTACCCATGGACAAGCCTAGCCTTGGACAAGCCTACCCTTGGACATGCCTACCCTTGGACATGCCTACCCATGGACATGCCTACCCATGGACATGCCTACCTTTGGATAAGCCTAGCCTTGGACAAGCCTACCCTTGGACAAGCCTACCCATGGACATGCCTACCCTTGAATAAGCCTAGCCTTGGACAAGCCTACCCATGTACAAGCCTAGCCTTGGACAAGCCTACCCTTGGACATGCCTACCCTTGGACATGCCTTCCCCTCGGACAAGCCTACCCATGGATAGGCCTAGCCTTGGACAAGCCTTCCCCTCGGACAAGCCTTCCCCTCGGACAAGCCTTCCCCTCGGACAAGCCTTCCCCTCGGACAAGCCTTCCCCTCGGACAAGCCTTCCCCTCGGACAAGCCTTCCCCTCGGACAAGCCTTCCCCTCGGACAAGCCTTCCCCTCGGACAAGCCTTCCCCTCGGACAAGCCTTCCCCTCGGACAAGCCTTCCCCTCGGACAAGCCTACCCATGGATAGGCCTACCCATGGATAGGCCTAGCCTGGGACAAGCCTACCCTTGGACATGCCTACCCATGGATAGGCCTAGCCTTGGACAAGCCTACCCTTGGACATGCCTACCCTTGGACATGCCTTCCCCTCGGACAAGCCTACCCATGGATAGGCCTACCCATGGATAGGCCTAGCCTTGGACAAGCCTTCCCCTCGGACAAGCCTTCCCCTCGGACAAGCCTACCCATGGATAGGCCTACCCATGGATAGGCCTACCCATGGATAGGCCTAGCCTTGGACAAGCCTACCCTTGGACATGCCTACCCATGGATAGGCCTAGCCTTGGACAAGCCTTCCCCTCGGACAAGCCTTCCCCTCGGACAAGCCTACCCATGGATAGGCCTAGCCTTGGACAAGCCTACCCTTGGACATGCCTACCCATGAATAGGCCTAGCCTTGGACAAGCCTACCCTTGGACATGCCTACCCATGGATAAGCCTAGCCTTGCTGTAGTGTACTTGAACTTTCACTTTTTGTTTTCTGTCGGTGAGGTAATCTTGTATAAGCAGGAGAGAAATTGTTTCTACTCCATATTTTGGGAAACTATAGGCACGTAAAAATTTGCAAATTTCCTACCAATGCCGAGCTTAATTTTTTTTACAAAAATTTCGTCTATTTATTGGCCTATTTTGTCATTGTTCAGTTTTGAGGGAATTTCATGGGCTGCCATGATCCCTCTCTCTAATAGATTTTTCTTGACGCTTCGTTTCATATTTGTAAGAAACATTTTCTATGAAGAGAAACATCAGCCCCCAGCCCAAAACTAAGCCTAAAAGGCCAAGGATCACCTTATCTGGCCCCTACCTGCTCTGTATGGCTGATTCTTTTAGGGTCTTTGACTCCAAACTCCAACCGACTTTGATTTAGGGGTCATCAGGTCGCACGCCACCTTGATAATCTGGTAAACCCGTCCAGGGACAGCAGGGAGAGATGGCTCGGCTTGCTTATTTTTTTTAATGCTTAGTATTCCCTAATAGGTTGATTAATGCCACCTTGAATATCAAGAGAATAGTGTATTGGTCATCGAAAAATGCTTAGTTTTTCCTTCTCTCTAGGGGTAACACCTTCATTCTTCAAATCAACTCAACTTGAGAGATCGGAGAGTCTCATTACTCGTGGTCAAGATGTTGCGGATGGTGCAATAGCTTTGGATTCAAATTTAAAGCACAGAATGGTGTCAGATCCTTTATTTTTCTTATCATTGAACGAAGATGAACTTGAGCAAGTTGTCGCGCTTGATGCAGAAGAAGCGTCTAGTGAGCTTGAGATGAGTAAAGAGAGGGTCTCGTTGTATCAAGATTCTTGCGAAAGAGAGCTTAGCAGGCGGGCAGAACTTCGTGATGCTACCGAACTGCTGCGTTTGTATGACAGAGTTGCACAACAGCGGAGCTGAATATGCTGGAAAACTTTCATATCTGCAGAGAAGGAGCAGATCCAGAAAATCGAAACTTTCACATGGAATGTAAGCTAGATTATCAAATTTCGTAGTCTGCTTTCATTTTTGAAGTGTATTTTCTCCTTGAACATAGTTTAAACATTCAAATGTAATTTAGTAACAATTCCATACTCACACCACGGGTAGCTTGGTTCCAGGTTCTTTTGTAGGTTTAGCAGCAATTGGTTCGTCCTAAATTGACTAACCTTCCAATTTCCAACTTCCAACCACTTCAATTCATTTTTATATTGGGATGAGCCATTTTTAATGGCAAGTGAGGATTTGCCCTCAGCTTCCCCGTCCTTCCTGAAATATATTTGCAAGTTCGATGATAAAATTGAATAATGGGAAGGGGGTTCCGTATTTTGTGCGGTCAATTAGATGTACGTTTGCATGTAAGTTTAATTCTCCACATTTATTTAATTCTCCATAGTAAAACAGAATAAAATACAATATTGTAAATTAAAAACAAAAATAAAAACCCCTAATTTCAGTGGCAGGGATAGCATAAATTCGTCAAACTGACCTTATTTCCAGAATAGTCCCCTGTTTCCATAATGGTCTCCTATTTCCATAATGGTCTCCCATTTCCATAGTGGTCTCCCATTTCCATAATGGTCTCTTATTTCCATAATGGTCTCCTATTTCCATAATGGTCTCCTAACGTTAATTAACATGACTTTTTTGAAGGGCCTGCCTTTCTGCTCAATGATGTAACTCTAAAATGCGTTTAAAATGGTTTCAAAGTTTTTAATTAAATTCTTAAAGCATTGTCAAACTTTCCCACTAGAGAAATGATTTTCAGCCGGCCCCTTTGCTAACGGACCTACAATCTCGGACAAAAATAGTTTAGACTTTTCAAGGAAAGTCGATATTTTCTCTGCCATTTGAAAAATATGATGCATGATTTTGAAGGGGAAATGATAGAACTACAAATCCAAATTTGATTGGGGGGAAAGGGGTGATTCGAATTTACAGGGGCAACGTAAAGTGGAAAATTGCAAAATTTGCATTTAGTCTCAACAATTTTGTCCAGATTTGTAGGGCAATGGCTAGGGAGGGGTTTCCGTTTTCTTGATAGCCAAAAACATACTTTTTGAGCAGTCATCTAGATGTAAATTTATGAACCTGACTTTCTTGAAGGCCCTGCTAAGCCAAAATGCATAGTTTTTCTATTTGTAAGAGAAGTTCTTCTAAGAAGGGATCAGATGACAATTCTCTGTATCGTTGAAGTGGACGATATGTAGATCCACGGCCCTAAAAGGGTTCACACCTAACAGTATATAAAAGAGCGTGTCCAAGAATTTATTTTGATCGATCTACAGAGACAGAACCTTTTTTTGGTAGCTTCTATTTTCCTCTGATTTTCTATTTATGTTTCTGGGAGGATCTCCTCTGTCTCAAGCCCCTCCTCCGGATGCTCTCGTTAGAAAGCTGAATAAAATGATTCTGTACACATGTATACTGTACAATCTTCTGTTTGACCTTGCTTCACGTAGAGGCGTAGCCATTTCTTTAAGTTTAATGCTAGCTGCCAATTAATTCTAACAGCATTAATTTGAAGGATTTGCAATAGAAAACTCTTAGAATATAATGGATTATTGCTAATTTTTGTTTGGATAAAGTTGGTTAAAGGCGAGATGTGTCATTTTTGAGCATTTTGTTTTGAAATAGCGATATCTGGTCAGCTTGTTCTTCTCTGCTTCTCTAAATGTAGGCACGCAACCTGCCCTGTTTTAAAGTTTAAGAGGGGGAGGGGGGTAGGAGAATACGGATAAATTTTTATAGTGGCTGTCCAAACAGAAAATGTGAGGCGGGGATCAAAATTTTGTATATCGGTCTTACACTCCGGTTGCAGTAAATTTTAATTGGTTCTACACGGTTGAACATTTTTCACTCCTAACAATTATTACTACTTTGCTCGGTTTAGTGTAGAGAACTGTTTCAAAGCTTTTATGCATCTTTACCACGGTGAACATTTTCAATGAATATCCTCTAAACAAGAGTTGTGAAATGAATCAGTGAGTTTCAACTTTCGTCTGACCTGTATATTTTTCCTGAAAGAGCAGATTGACAATGGAATTCCCGCAACGCAACCACTCCTGACCTACGTTGCATGAAGTCACAGGGCCCTTGAAATGATCGTTTGTTTTCATGTTTGCGTTTTGTCTGTCACGGCGGAGTTATTAGCAAAGGGGCGTGTCATCTTCGTGAATGGAAAAGAACTCTTTCTGACTGACAATTTATTTTATATTGAGTCATAGTGTCACTACTAGTGTTGAATCCGGCTAAGGTGACTGGAGTTAGCCAAGGAGCCTGTACCTAATTCAATGTGGTAGACATTGCTTGAGGAGACTGCATTGCACGTATTTATATAGACTCGATATAGACAGCCCTTTTGTTAGCCATTCGCCACTCAACCGTTCACAATATTGAAAACAAGGGTACTAAAAATACGGAATATTATGAAATCCATTTCTGTTTATATTAAAACCTGTTAATTTTTACACTCGACAATATTTTTTTCAAGATAAACTATGGTTAAACACTGTGGTCTTATAACGTGACTCTGAAAGATAAATACAACTGATGTCCCTATATCTAATGGAAAGCTAGAGAATTTCTCACAGAAAAGGATTCACTATCTTAATAAATAACTAAGAGGCTTCCAGTACCAAATAAAAGGATATTTGATAACACTTTTTGGTTCTATGCCAGATTTTGAGTTGCTTATGAAAAATACATTTGCCTTTATTAAGTTGTCGTTTTGCTAAATGAGCTTAGAAGGCAACGTTATCAATATTGTTTGTTGTGAAAACTTCTGTTTATGAAATTTACATTGCATTTGTAATTTAATTATTTTAAAAATGTTTATCTGTTATCTGACTGAATAATTTGATTTATAACGAATTTTGTTATTTTGTTGAGCCAAGCAAATTAATTAACCTTCATTTGTGGATAAGTGAGTTTATTATTTTTCTTTAATTTTTTTGCTTTGAAAATAATTTAATATTTCCAAGAATTTTAAAACTGTTGGCAATGGAATTGGTCATTGACTTGAATCTCGCGATCTGCACAAATGCTGGAGAAGGTAGTGAGCATGACTGCTGTCATTTGTATCTGCAAACTTCGTCCTTTTGATGTCATTATTTTGATTTCGAAAGAGACAAACAATTGCGTCAACCATCCTAGTCGCTGCGCAGATCCATGAAAGATTTAAGACATTGAACCCTGTGACCGTTTTTTCCCGCCAAGACTGCAGATTGCATTTTTCAGCAGTTTTACAAAGGAACATATTTTATGTTTGGTTTATAATGAAGGAAAGGTGATATTAGATTTGTTGCCATCCAGCGTTTCTTAGCGATGCCTTCTGTTTGATGAGGAGACCATAAACGTGTAACTGGGTTTTTCGCGTTCCATTGTTGGCCTGAAGAATGACATTTTCCAAGTTGGTGGAAAAGAGCAATACAAAGAGGTCTGCAAAATGTTTTTTATGATAATTAAGCAAGGTTGTAGCTAATTAAGAGAGACAAATAGTGGTATTTGTCATCATGAAAATGTGTAAATTCCAAGGTTTTACACTTTGTTTGATTTTCGTTGGCTTGTTATTAGACAGAGCATATGGTATAACAATCTAACTTCTCGACGTTATCTCATAGATTCGGCTATGGACTTTCAAAATTCGTCCGGTACCTTTTTGAAAATTCCTTGTTATCACGTGATTGATGACGTCATTTCATAAAATTTCAACATTTAAGGTGTCATAACCTTTGATTGAAATGAGAGAATCGAATGAAACTTGCATTTTTGGAATTAGCTCAAAGAGATCTTACGAATGATATATAAAAAATTTAAGTTCTGCTGACATCAGCATTTTGAGCTTTGACGTCATCAAGAAATTTTATGATGTCATAAAGGAAAATAACGGGTTTATAAAAATCAATTAGATGCCTTAAGGCGTAGCAAGCAATTTGAGCTATAAAGGGGGAGGGCAAGGGAAAGAGGAAGGGGAAAGGGAGAGTTCTTCGATTTTCGTACCAATATTCACTTTTACGTTCTCCTGGATAAAATGTTCAAGAAAACCGATTTCCACTTGTCAAAAATGCCTCAGTGATTAAAGCATACATTATCGTTGAAGAGAGAACTAACTCGTCAGATACTGACTCTTTGCCTTAACGATAATGTATGCTTTAGCTTTAATCACTGAGGCATTTTTGACGAGCGAAAATCGGTTTCCTTGAACATCTTATCCAGGAGAACATAAAAGTGAATATTGGCACGAAAATCGAAGATTCGCTTTCCCCTTTCCGGATTTTGAAAGTCCATAGCTTAATCTATAAGATTACGTCGAGAAAACAAAGTTTAGCAAGTTTGTTAGATTGTTATACCATCTGCCCTTTCCATATGTCTTTAAACTATATTTATAGACTGCCTGATTCAGGTTTAGGCTTATGCACGTTTTTTTATAAGAGTGTATTTCATAAGAAAGTTGTGCTCGGTTCTTCAAAAATTTAAGAAAGTTCAGGGCTGGATCTTTGAGACCTAAGAAAGTTGAAAAATTTCGATATTCAAAATTTTAAAGGAAATTGTGGAATAAGAGTGAAATATTTCAACAATACAGTAATGTGCTGAATTGGAAACGACGAATACAGTATGACGTTGAGGGCTTTTGAGAAATAAAGCATATTTATAGCATTTCATCTTCTCCACCACTGCGCATGCTTAGGAACGTAAAACTTTCCAATTTTACGTTAAGAAAGTGTTAAGAAAGTTTTAGTGCTGAAATTGGGAAATAGCTAAGAAAGTCTGAGGGCTTGGCTGAAAAAAACTTTCTTATAAAAAAGCGTGTAAAAAATTTTTTTTATAAATTGACTAGATAAACGATAGCCGTTAAGCTCGGGTCAAATCTTTCTCGCTTGCTTTAAGTATTTTCAATTCTGTCTAGATTTTGTATATATATGAAAATCTCGACTGGTGTAGACAGAGGAATATTCTCTATTGGACTCTTCAAACGTGCTAGAGGGTATAGCGGTCATTGAATGGCCTAAAACAAGGAGCGTTGTTTTCGATCTGCAACTGGTTACTAATTTTCGCTTACCCTTGGTCATTATTTGATATTTTAAACTCCAAAGAGTTTTAAGCAAAGAACTAAAAGTTTGCTATGCGTGCACTTTTTCACGCTATTTTCCAAATTCGCAGTACCAGAGGCGGGTTTGTTATTTTCAAAAGCAATCGCCTGGGTTCAGCTTGGGACGCGTAAATAGAAATCCAGGCGGTAGTAATCCTAGCAGATAGACACTCCTCCGCTTCTCTACTCTTATCTTCTATTTCCGCACTCGAATTTATGTGGCTCTGTTACCGAAAGTACCATATAAAAAAAAATTGTAAGTGAAAATAACATATAACAGTCAAAAATTAATTGCAGTTGCTAATTGTTATCCGAGGGTAAAAGGTAAAAGAGGCCTAGCTGAGGGACGGCAAGCTGGGGTGGGGTGGGGGGCTGAGCCTCGGCAAATTTTCCTCAGGGGGGGGGGCTAAAGCCCTGAAGCACACACAGCCCCCTTAGGTCTGCTCCTACGATCCTCATCTTTTTGTTAAATGGTTGGCACGTTCGTTTTGACAATGTTCCGAATTGCTAAAGAAAGAAAACAGCATTGCTGCTTTTATGTGAATTTCACGTTCAGCCCCTCCTCAACCCCCCCCCCCTCCCTTCCACCTCGGTAAAGTATGACATTTCTAACTACTTGGTAAAGTCAGAAACGTTGATGTTCAGCTTTAGCTAGATATGAAAATATTTAGCACCTTAGCACAGCAATGGCTGAATCTTGGGGATGGTCGTGGCCATAACCCACAAAAGAGCACCAACATGTGTCAGAGCCCTTGAAAAAAACATTTTTACACCGGTAGAAATTTCAGGTAGCGTTTTTAAAATGCTATTCGTTGGTACTTGCAAGCACGTACAAAATCCGTGTGCAACATGGTTAGAGTATGGAAATTTTTAACAAATACCAGGATATATAGATGGTAGACAAAAATTGCGAAGTGTAATTCACGTGTATAGAAAATTATTTTCTCCTGAGTGACTTTGAAATGAAAATCAGGGGTTGGGATACCTTTAATTGCCCCGTTTGCAGCGATTATGTAACCGCTCTATAACTGTTATTTTTACAATATGATCTCTCTTTTCTTACATTACAGTATAAAGTTTCTATACTCGCCATTGTTTGTTAGCTAATTGAAAATTAATATGTATTACGTTTAACTATTTTGTTTATGATGAAAAAGAAGGGAAACGGAAATTGGAATTCGCGATGGACTCAGAGGAAATACTGCAACAAATAAGAAATTGAGTAATATTAACTATTAACATAAAGATAAAAACAGAAATCGATGATTTATGTATAATCGATCTTTTGAGGCGTTATACTTTTCCCAGGCAAAAAGGGCTTCATAAGAAATATTCAGAATAGCGATGGCCTAGTTTGAGCAAAGTCGAGAATATACAATACCGTATAAAGGATAGGCTTCTCAGAGGGGGGCTGTTTGTGAACAATAAGAAAAAGGGGATTGTTCGCTGAAAACATTAGAGGGGCACAAGTCACCCTAAAACAATGGTGTTTATGGCCCTGAAAATGTATATCGATCACAGTGAAGTATTTGATTAACTGAGAAACTGAATTATAGTAGCAGATATGAAATTATATCATTTTTTATCATGAGTGAAAATATGATCAAGCATTGTGATAATCATTAAATGAAATCCGATAACAGCTTCCCCATTTTGACCCATTTCAGAGGGTGTAAACAGATTGAGTCAACAAATTAGAAGCGTTTTTTCATGAAGAGAACTCAGTGAATGATATCCTATAGGGATTCAATAAAATGAATAGATACAGGTAACCAATCTGTTGTTCTTTGGTTTAGCAACGCAGTGGCCAAACAAAAATGAATTTGATTTTTTAACAGGCATGCTGGAGCCGGGGGGGGGGGCTTAGTGGGCTGTAGCCCAACCCCCACGTTTCGCTTAAGTATGATATCAAGGTTGTAACATCAAAGACAATGGTGGAAAACTACGAAAGATACCCCCCCCCCCACCCACACTTTTCTAAAGCCAACCACTCAAAAATGTGTTTGGGCGTCCCTGTAGTATTTTGCAAAATTTGAGTTATTTGCTGGAGAAATTATGAAATTTTTTTTTTACTCTTGACGCAACCAAAATGTAACAACGTTTCTAAACACCTAACATTAAACACGAAACGAAAATAAAACACCTAACATTAAACATCCAGCCATTGAAGCATTTTTAAGATTCGTCCAGTCAAATCAATTATTCGCCATTTGTCCCACTGGTAATAGCCTCACAAAACAAACCATTGATTTTGCAATGAGAAAACAAGTACTATTTTCCTTAAGATTATCTCGGAATAGAGATCCTCTTTCTATTTAATAACCGCCAAGAATTCCATGGGATAGCCAAAACCTTTGAATCGAAGGGACAGGCCCTTATCAGCAATTACAATGTAAAAACCGAACTAGCTTCTAACTAAGTTTCAATTTACAATAATGAATCGTTATTTGATAGGTGCTGTATCATTCTAGAGCAAACTGACTTGGCGGTTCAAATTTGAGGTCAGACAAATCATTTTGATAAAGAGTCAGCCCTTCCACCTTCTTCATAGAAGAAAGCCTCCAATTAAAAGAACAGTATTGGAGATAAGCTCCTTTGTCGCGTCGTATCTATTTGGTTTAATTACATGATCGTTGCGTACACTCAAATTTGTAACTGTTTCTGCTTCTCCTACTAGCAAAACAGTCTGATGTCCGTCTAGTGGTGCAAACAAAGTTTGGAGCCAGCCCAGAATCTGTTTCAAATCACCGTGAACCGAACATACCAAGTAAGTTCATACTTTTTTGTAAACCAATCGCTCTCGTTGTCTGAATGCTTCACACAATATCGTCAGTATTCGTGGTCTGGTATAATCCCTCGCTAGATCATTGCATTGTTTTAGAATTTTTGCTTGCTGTTTTTGGAGCGAGAATAACTAGTCCACTACTCTATGATTCTTCAATGATGCTTACGATGAAAAACTGGCTCTAGAAATGTGGGATTTCAAAGGAAAAAACCACAGCCTATCTACACGTATTTGTTTTACATGAAAAAATCAGAGACCATTTAAAATTCTATACAAGCAAACAAGCAAAGCTATTCATAAGGACTCCCTAATGATTCAACCCCAAAGAATACTGATGTACTATAGTTGCCAAACACTATATATCCAATCTAGATATTTACACTTATTGATGTTGCGGCTGCTTGCAGAGTATTCTGCGCCTGCGTTAGCGGTGATCAGATCGTCTCGTGATATCGTTGTACACTTTAAGCGGACACTTATCCTTCTCAACATGACGTCTGTATCAATAGCTTAGAGGTGATTTGGCGCGATCCACCTTTCTATTCCTGTCTTCCTTGGAAGATCAGTAAAGGTGCAGTGTGGCCAACTTGACAATGACAAAGAATAAACTCTGAGAAACTGCATTGAAATCGTATAATTTACAACCAAAATGTAGTACTTTTCCCTACCTTCTAGACTTCTCCTTGAAGGCATCTTACAGTAACATACCTTTAAAAAGGAGATTGCCAAACCGATTTAGAACAATGGAATTTATCCTTAAAGCCAGCTTTAAAATCTTTTCTTTAAAATCAAACATTTATTTCCTTTGTTCATAATAAACGCCTCATTTCCATACTAAAGTGGGCCCCCCCCCCATAGTGTTTGTAATTCACGCATTCACGTACAATTTTTTTACTTTTCACGCATTCATGCACTGCAAAATTGGATTTTCACGCTCACGCAAAAAATAAATGTAATTTCAGCTATTGTTTATCAGAGCCAGTGGCGTAGCGTGAGCGCAGAACTTAGGCATGCGGTAACATAAAATATACGGCTATGTTGAATAAATATAATAGTAATTTCAGCTTCTTAAAAATACAAGCGGTAATTAATGATAATCGTGATAATAAATTTTGATTTTGAAAGTAACAAATCATTTGTACTCTAATTCTAATCAATCAAGGTGTCTATTCTTAGCATCAGAGGCTCCGATAGAGGTTGGAAAGTGAAGGGGGGCCAAGGGAAAAATTATCACCCATGCGAAAGTTTTTGAAAAAAGCTCAATTGTTTAGCAAGAATTTTCAGAATAACACCTAGTGCTAAAACTGCTTCGCAAAATTTTTATTCTTATTCATATTCGTCAAGAAAAGGCATCACCCAATTCCCACCTAATGTAAGAATTTTTTATGCTATAATGAAGCTGGGGATTCCCGCAAGGAGGAGCTCTCCACATTGCGAAATTGTTAACACACTGCAGAGCCTAAGCTAACAGGACCAAGAGTTTCTGCTCATCTTTTACTCTCATAGTTAACGAAGATGAAAATAGTGAGCTGTGAGAGTTGTTAGAAATGAAGATGCTTCCATGTGTAAAGTTTCAGAAAGTTAGTCCCGGCAAATCATCATGTATTTGGCAAAGCTTGCGCTCAGGTCTACCGCATGCCCTGGTCCGTAAATTCTGACTATACTGGCAAGCCTTTTGACTTGAATTACGGAATGCGGATCATGACAAATAGACTCTGACCCTACTTTGACGAAACTTTTTCTCTTTTCAACAGTCACAAAGTAAAGAAAGAAAAATAATTGGATTTGAAATGATGTATCACGCAAAAAATATTCGCAAAAAGCAGCTTATAGGTAGAAAGATGTTGTGGATTATCAAATATTTGGGAAGGCTTGCGCTCAGGCCGACCGCAAGCTCCAGTCCGGAAAATTCTCACTTCTCTCAGAAGCTTCTCTCGAGTTGCACTGAAACTGCACTGGAGCATCACATGTTTCTCTTATTTTGGACAGGCAAAAAGAGTGATGTGGAGGGGCTTCAGTTTTTCAGATTTTTCGAATTTCATAATTTTTAGCGATCTGTTTACTTGGAAAAATAGCCAATTGGGGCCAATTGGCCTGTTGGCGCTAGAGTTCACCGCATGCTGCTCATGACAAGAAAGAGAAGCCGTTTATTGCGGAAACTGTTATGCATTGAAAGTGTTGCAAGAATTTTAGAATTTGTCCATAAATTTTTACGCTTGCGCCGCAAGCGTAGCATACATAGACGCTACGCCACTGATCAGAGCCCTGTTTGAAGGACTACAACACTACTTTCAAACTTTGAATACTAATTAGAGATTTAACTATTATTGGTTTATCACGAACTAAATTGAGGCACTTTTTAAATTATCATTCCAAATTTCATTTACGAATTATCGGATGGTTAAAGCCTTTTCACGACATAACGCCAGGAAAACTCATGTTTCACGCTTCACGTAGGAATCTTAATTCACGAAATCACGCATAAAAAAATTGAGATTTCACGATTTCACGCACGAAAATATGGCCAATAACGCATCACGCAAAAATATGGGGGGGGGGGCTAAAGTGAAATATAGCGTCTCGGTAGAACACCTCGTTCCAATAAATATCAATTTTCTCAGATTTAATGCCAGGGTTGTTGAAGTAGAGAAAATACGACAAGTATAAGGTGATCTAACAGTAATGGATTTTAAGCATGGATTCTTCATACATGCCTCTAGTCTCTCACAAGTGACGACCCGTTGGTCACACTAGCAGACTTCGAGTCGCAATTTGAATATTGCTGCCCTCTGACATTCTGGTACCCAGGGTAGTATTTAGCCAGTGCATCATTTCAATTACCCTTGTACAAGGGACTGGTATTGTGTTAGTTATCCCGGCTGCCTTAGCAGGAATTGTGTCCACACCGATAGTCACCTTGGCGTTTGTTTTACTGTGTTAAGTGAAAGAAGTGTTTAAGGAACACATCGATGAAGCCAAGGTTATTTTAAGATAGTTTTTACAGATTTTAATTTTTCTTCAAATTAATATTTTCGTTCTGTGAGCCATTCTCTATTTATTCATTACTGGGTTTTTCTAGTGGATTTGTGTTGCCTCTTTTTACTTTTTATCTATTAAGGTATTTAGGACTTTTTTCGTTCTAGCATCCATTCAGTAATTGAGCACAATCAAGCTCTTGCGCGTGTTGTTATGTTCACTTGCTGTGTTCAGAATGTCATGGCTTAGGAGATGGTCTCATGTTCTCTTTAAGGTCGTCTTCAAGGCCTCACTAGTAGATTTGGATGGTATCAAATCAAATCAAATCAAATCAAATCAAATCAAATCAAATCAAATCAAATCAAATCAAATCAAATCAAATCAAATCAAATCAAATCAGATCAAATCAAATCAAATCAAATCAAATCAAATCGAATCGAATCGAATCGAATCGAATCGAATCAAATCAAATCAAATCAAATCAAATCAAATCATTGGAATCAGATGCTTCTTGCTTCAAACAAACATTTTGTTTCAGAAGAGTTTCGAAGTTCTGTTGAAGATGAGAGTGTCCAACTGACCCATCCATCTTAGTGAAACCTTTATAAATCTAAATAAATCATTATCATTTTGACAATGAATTCATTTTAGTGTTCATAAAGCCATGAAGCTAGTGCAGAACTGACGATGCAAGGTTTCTTCCACTACATTTTTACCATTCTTTTCATTCGCAGGAACTTTTTCTCCTTCTTCTTTGTCATTGCTTTCAATACTCTTGGCTTTTGAGGGAGAAAGCTGCTCGTTTTCCGTAATCGTGATGAACAAAGGATTGCCTTAAATCGTCTCTCTAGCAAGAGAAACAGCTTTTGTAGACCTGAAAGTGTCCTTAATCTGGTACTATATAATGATTTAGCGTAATTTAATAACTTTTAAGATTAAAGTAGAAAGGCTAGAAGCTGACATTTCGCGTTAATGGACCAAATATGAGGAGTTCTTTTTAGAATTTTGAACTCTAGTAACTTCTTATTCTAGGAACTGACCACAAGGATGATTAATGGTGTCTGCCATTTCAATGACGTTTCGGTGATATTTGTAGTATGTTCTTGTTTCAGCATGTTATTTACCTTCTAACTGTTTTTCTAGTTTCTCACCCAAGCTTCGGACATGGCATTCATGGCAATGCAAATGTCAACCGAATCTTGCATTTCAAAAAGTCAACATTGACAAATAGATAAACAGTGAAGGGACAGAAGGCGTGCCATTGCCATTCATGGCCGTTTAATAATGGAATTTTGCCAGCCAGGGATTTTTGTTTCTGAAGGGGTGGGTTGTCTTCCTAAATGAGGATCAGTGTCAGTCATTTTTTATCCAGCTGTCAATTTGAATCATACTCTATTGACATGTCTATGGTTTTTCAAAGTGTAGCAAATAAGTTTCATATTGAACGATACTTGCTCTGTCACTGCTTTGGTCTAGATAAGTTGTCTTTAGTCTTTGCTAAAACCTACCTGGTTAAACAAAGTTTTCATGCAAAATTGATTGTATGGCGATAAGGACCTTCCTAACGCTCTGTTGATTACTTTTGAGATTAATTTTTTTCAACTTGGTATTTTCTCCGCGACACTGGTTGTCTCGTTTAGAAAATTTCACTGGTACAAGGCACAACATGTTCCTTTTTCTCTAACTGTTTTTCTTTTCTCTATTTTGTTTTTTCTATTTGATAGTTCCGTGTATTTGTGTTTAAACGTCCATCTCAATCAGAAGTCACGTGAGAATCTGACACTTTCACGTGACAGCTAATTTAAGGAGTGTTTACCTTAATGAAATAATAGCAATGTAGACACGTGGTGTCCGTTTCAGTGAAATAGTAGAGAAATGTTTTGAGCAGTGTCATTTGTGATATGTCATTGTAAATTTTTCATTAAATACTATGTGTTGAAAAAACTATATAAACAATGATTTAGTGGGAAGAAAGGAAAAGCTGTTGGAGGAAAAAGCCGACCTAT